TCGGTGTTGACAAAACACTGTTACTATCGAATGTTCCATATATTTGCTTGCTGACCTACTAAGTAGAGTACCCACCTCTGTGGTACGGATCGGGTCTGCGCCGTGTAGTGCCGCGGAATGGGTTAGTGCAGAGTACGAAATACCGAGAAGGACCAAGTTATCCGTCATAATCCGGTCGAGAAGCGAGGAAGGGGGTAAGCCAATGCCGCACCAGACCACGGATGAATTCGGTAAGTGTTGACTGGCCTGAATCAGAAGTATCATAGTCGGAACCAACAAGCGCGATGATTTGGGTTGAACCGATATTTGGAAGTAGTACTTCAACAGCGTGAGTAGCCGGGGTATAGGGAACATCTGTTGATGTGTCAGGGACGGGTGAGGGTACGATGGTTCTTCAACATGCTGGAGAAAAGATTCAAAGTGTTCGTGGAGGGTCCAGATACCGTGGAAGTCGTGGCACTCCTGTAATTACTGAAGGAGGTCAGGGCCAATGGGCGGCAGTTTCGGGCCTACCAGGATGCGTCGGAACTTGTGGCTACCGGGGCAGACAGGGCAGAGACAGCCGTCGGTGCGGTAGTTGAGCAATGTGAACATGTACGTATTCGTTACAATCATAGCACAGAGCCGGATTGGTGTAGACTCGAAGTAGCGATTGAAGCTGTCGTGTCTGGCTGTGTCTCGGTTTAAGGTTGGCGGTTTACCCATAACCAGTTGGTAGTCGTATTGGCGCCGGGCCATTGCCGCGATCTCCTTGTTGGGCCAACGTTTTGTTGAGTTCTTCCTGATGTCGTCACAGCGTTGGCGGAGGGCTACATGGTCGGGTGTACGCCCGCCCGTGGTTTTGTGTACAGTTTTCAGGTGAGCATAGATACTGTACGGAAAGCGCAGTGATGAAAGAGTGGGTGGGGGGTTTGTTTGCTCGACGAGAGAAGAAGCTCTGCCAGGTAGGCAAAGTTCAGCCCTGCTCAGTCAGGCTACCACATCACGGATAAGATGTTGACGAAGGACCCGCTGTCGTACGATTCGTCGATGGGAAGTCGGAGGATGGCCCGCTATACCCAAGTGCTGCGAAACTTTGACATAGTTATCAAGCACATACCAGTTGTGTTGAATCCTGTGGCTGATGTGCAGTCGTGTTTGGGCTACCACATTGACCCGATCATGCAGGCGCGGAGTGCTCCGGTTGAGGAACGAGTCCATTGGAGTGATCCGGTGGTGGTGGATCCAAAGACGGAGTCCTATGCCTTGAGTGAGAGTTGGTTTACCAAGTTATGGGACAAGTTTGGCTCATTCGATGCGGAAGGATTTGCACATCCAACCAACTTTCGTATGAAGCCGTTTTACCAGCCTACGCTGGCTTGGGGGGTGTTTGCTTTGCGCACCTGGATGGGTACAAGGTGGTACTTCAACCCTAAGTGGTCAGATTAAAGCAGAGTGGTAGCCAGGATCAGGAGGGACAAGGCAACGGCTACGTTGGTTTGTCCATACACTCCCGAGGCGAGGTGATTCAAGGAAATGGTACCTATGCTTTCGGCAGATCTGGTAGTGTAAGATTCGGTCTGTTAAGGCGATATTGACGCCTTAGAGTAAATAAACGCGTAGGTAAATTCTAAGTATCGTAAAAATATCAAAGTAAATAAACGAAATGAGACTTTTAGTAAAGTTAGGTATGCCTCGTGAAAACAGCAATACGCTGAGGGATTATGAGGCTGAGACATTGCCTCTTATAATCCTCTCAGTACTGTTTCCGCCGAAGAGATTTTATTTGGTGTTTCGTTGTCGCTCTATTAGAAACTATGGTATGTTCCATGGGGGCGAATCCGAGAGACTCGTAAAATCCTATCTTTAGAAAAAGAAAAAGAAAAAGAAAATACTCTTGATGTCCTTAGTTATTGTCTTAACCAATAACTTGCCACTTATCAAGAATTACCGACTTAGCCTTCATCAGACTGGCACATCTGGTTGACTGATCGGAGGATCAACTAGGTAACGTTAATAGTCCCTAGAAATCTATATTCGGTTGAGCCATCTCGCTACCAAAGTATTCAGATATAAATAAAGTTGGAAATAAATATAGTTCTATTAATAGAACTAGACCAACTCTTATGTTTTGTATTTTACTGGGGCCTTTTAATGGCTTCGTCCAAATATCTGATATGTAAAATGGAAAAGGTATTAATTAATAAAACCATTAAAAATCATTTTAGGGAACTTAAGTTCCTCGTGCTATTAAGATTACATTTAGGAAACTTAAGTTCCTTGTACTAATAAGAGTACATTTAGGAAACTTGAGTTCCTCGTACTATTAAGAGTACGTTTATAATTTACGTACTGCTTAAGAGTACGTTTATAACATAGAGTCTAATGTGGAGGCCCGGCTTATTACACGTACTGCTTAGGAGTACGTTTATAACATAGAGTCTAATGTGGAGGCCCGGTTATTACACAGCCCCCACCCAGCTTTGAGACCCATGAGAAGCAAGTTGCTCACTCAAGCTGATTATGGGTCAAAAAGTGAGAAAGGAAAAACGGGTCGAAAACATCAAGTAGCATAACATATGATTAATGTTTCTCAGGCGGAGAAGTTAAGCGCTCTCGGTTACCCTGTGAGTTTTGGGCCTAGGTCCAGTAGGTCCGTGGTGGTCGACCGGACGTTTCTTACGCTTCAGTGTCTTAAGCACATATGAAAGATGAGCATTAAAGCTCGGGATAAATGCTGTAGGCGGATAAATTTTAACTTCCGTGCCTTCAGACGATGGAAACATGCTATTTTTTTCAGTTTGTGACTTATGCAGGCGTTTACGCCATTTTCGATTAAAGGCTTTTAAATAGTCTTGATTATCGAAAGCATCTGAAGTCAACTCAGCTATTGTACCGTCTATAAAGCGTGTACGACAGTATATATAGCCTCCCTTATCCGTTCTCCATATAATGTCTTTAAATTCAGAACGATCAAGAGGGGCATTAGAGTCATGTCTTCTTGCGAGTATAATCTCTGTAGTCGGAATACGACTTGTGCCTATATTAAACGCACTAGAACCATCGGGGTTATTTACCTCGTACGTTCCGCTTTTAGTGTCTGCTACAGAGATTATATATGGACCTATTCATTTAGATATTAATACAGTAGCATCGGAATTACGTTGACGGATGTTAACTCTGTCACCAACCTGATACTCTGCTATCTTCTTGGTAGTGTCCCAACGCTTTTGCCTTTTTAATAAGGCTATATTGCGTATTTCTCGCAAGCAAGGATATACAACGTTATAAATACGATGTACCTTCTCTAATCATGGTAACTCATGGTGATCAGGTTCGTCCTTGTTAAAGGGGATTTGTAACTCACTATATCTGCCACGAAAATAGTGAGCGGGTGTAGTTCCTGTAACCGGATCAGCACACTCGTTCATCTGTGTTTGTACCCACTTAAGGTGGTACGGCCAATCATCTGCATCATCCGTTGATGCAGTGCGCAAGAAGAACTTAAGTCTTCTATGGCGCGTTCCATTCGCGCCTTGCGTTTGCGGCTTATATGGCACACCTCTCTTATGGCATATACCTGATACGAGTACTATCGATTCCATTACGTCATCGCAGAACTCACTACCGTTATCAGTGCACATAATACCTGGCCACTCGTGGTCAGCAAAGACTTGGCAACATAATTCTGCCACGGTCTGCGTATTCTTATCCTTTAATGGATAGAGCAAGTTAAACCGTGACGCCACATCAAAGAAGTGGCATACGTAACGGTCGCCTGTGTGCTCGGACGTGGGCAGGTCAACCAGATCAATGATGACCCTGCGCCATAGAACATCTTCAGTCACACTCTTAAGCGGTGCGAACCCATAGCGCTTTGTAGTAAAAGTCCCCTTAAACCACTATCAGTGTGGATTTAGAATTAGTTTACAATTAATTCACACGAGGCGAATTATTTGTAGACCAAGTAGACAATCAAATATAAGAATAAATACACCGCACTGAGCCTCAGGAGGACTCAGTAGGTTTTAGTATCGTATTTTGATGTGTTTACTACAGCTTGATCTGATTGAGATCATAGTCTGTACATGACTGATATACTTTAGGGTGCGCGATCCCATTTCGCTTAGCATCTTTAAGTGCGTCTACTATGTTCTGGTGCTTCAGCTTATGGTTTTGCGTCAGCCAAGCAAAAATGTTTTCATCATTCTGCTCCTCCAGAATAAAGGTAGGGTGTTGAGAATCCACTTGCGTGGTACCTAAGTCTGTAGTGTTTTCAGACTCCTGTCCTGCTTTCGCATGAGTGTCATAAGTGCGCTCATGTGCGTTAGATACACCTGACTTATTAAATTGTCGCATTATATGTGTATACGCTTCATGATTGTCTTTCATTATTCCCTTTAGAAATAGGGTTTGAAAGACCTCGGGCTTGGACTTTATGTTATTAAACAAAGTCCTAGCTAGAGACTGACGCTTCTTAACAGTAGTGTCATTAGTAAATTGTATTTCTTGTGCACAGACTTCAAGAGCTGTGTTGCCTTTGAACTGCTTGACGTTCAATTGGGTAGAGAGTGTAATCTCTGATTCTTTGACCTTGTTAAGGAAGGTCTCAGAAGGGGTCCATTAGGTTGTTCCAATGGGACCTATACGACATATTATAGTATGTCTCCAGGGCGTCTTCGGACGGCTCGGGTACCCTGATATAGGAAAGTATCTACTTCCCTATCTAAATATATTGGCTCGCATTGTATCATGCTTATTAATTTATTGAGCCATAGATCTTTACTCCGTAATGGGCAACACAACGTGATGGTAGCTTTATGTATATGAACATAATTTAATAACTGGGCAATTAACTGCCATGGTGGATTAGCCCACGCATTATGTTTGGAGAGGTCTATTTGAAAGTCGTCTCCCAAAGGATGATTTAAAGTCCTGTAATTCGATAGCTGTGCATTTTGATGTGCAGCAAACATATCTATGGTATGTGGCCCAAATATCTTTTGAGCCAGTTCAAACCATCTGGGATTACATTTCCAGTCAGTGGCTAGTAACTCATGTACGGATTTATTAAAGTCCGGTACGAAGCGTGATAACATATGTTTCTAAAACCCTAAAACCCAAAAACCCTAAACCCTAAAACAAATTCCTGGCAGATGTTTTATATCAAAATGAAACTTTGATATTGTATCATGCCAGCGACTCAGTAGTTGTGAGTCGGGTTTCATCTCTTTCATATATTGAAGATACTTCTGATCACACATCAGCGTAAATGCTGTTCCGTTTAAGTAATCTCGGAAGTGTGTCGGAGCTGCTACTATGGCTAATAGCTCTTGTTTAGCAGTTGGGTAATTCAACTGTGAAGCATTCATTGCTCGACTGAAGAATTGTATATATCTAGGTTTGTTATTTATAACCTGATATAATACTCCTCCTAATGCTAAGTCGGAGGCGTCCGTTGCTATTTCAAACGGCACGCCATCGACTGGTCCTTGTACAACAGGGGCTTGCTGGACTGCGTGTTTGAGCGCTTTAAATGCATCATCACACTCTTTAGTCCACAAGTCTCCTTGTTTGCCTTTATGACATCTTAAGTGTGCAAAAGGCTTAAGGTAATCAGCCAAGTGTGGTACTCCATCTGAAAAGAAGTTTACAAACCCACACATGCTGTTAACATCTCTTCCTGTAGTTGGTGTTCGCCAATCTAACATGTGTCCTACCTTACCGGGGTCGATTTTAATACCTTCCCCAGATATTCTGTAGCCTAAGAGCTGTATTTCGCTCATGGCGAAGCGACATTTCTTCTCGTTAATCTTGAAGTTTTTCTCGTTGAGTCTCTTAAGGACTCGTCTGACTAATGCGCCGTGTGTTCGCCATTAGTTTTTGAAAAGATGACTATGTCATCTATGTAGACTTGCACATTAGGCATGTCTGCAAACATTTCTTCCATTACTTGTTGGAAGAATGCTGGTAAAGAGTGTAACCCGAAAGGTGCACCTCTGAACCTGTATTGTTTACCTTTCCACGTAAAACTAAAGTATTTACGATGTGGTTCATATACCTGCATTTGATGGTATCCTTGTGTAAGGTCTATAGTTGTAAATACTGTAGCACCTTCCATCCTTCGCAGTAGCTCGTTAATTCGAGGTAAGTGAAAGCTATGAGTCGGCAATAATTTATTTATTAGACTCATATCAAAACATACTCTGACTTTCTTAAACGATCTGTCAGAGTTATGTTGGTCTACGGCTAGCAGTGCCAAGTTAACTGGTGTCTGTTGATAG